TGTCTTACCTTTCCATCCATATAAAGTAAATCTAAATTCGAGATCTACAGTTCCAGATATCACCCAATTATCGAACAGAGTTCCGATTTGGACTACACCAGCATCTCTTTTCTAAGTTTGGCAATCTCTTTGTCTTTTCAATTTCAGTTCTTGAATTCATCAATCAATTATTTCATTTATATGATAGGCCTGCATTTAAAATGAACATTTACCACACATTAAATGATTCTTATATTATTAGCTATGTTACTATAAAACATGTTTTATTTAAGAAGTTATTGATACCTCAAGTGCAAAATGATAATATAAAATCTTGATAAAAATATATTTTTAAGTAATAATCACCTAACCATATTTCTACTAATTATCTTACCTGTCTTTGAACATGTCAAGTCAGTATATCATATCAGTACAACTCTCAAATGATTTGATTTGAAACATAAGCTAGGTAATGAGATGAGTCAGGAGGTTTTAAAATTGACTCAATGGCTACTAAAAAAGATTTTCTAGGCCTAAACATTCTTTTTTAGTTTAATTTTATTTTTTTGGTGTGGCTTGCAATATAGTATAGACCACCTATTTAGTTTATTCTAAATGGCACAAAGAACATCTCCATAAACACTTAAAATAATAATAAGGGAGATTTTTTTTGTTTTTTTTTCTTATTTCTTATATGGATACTATGTTTAGTTTTATAAGGCTATAAATTAGAAAAATAATTTATAGTGACTTGCTAAGTTCATAATTTATTTAATAATTAAATTGATGTGCACCTTGTGGACTACTTTAAATCTCAACTAATGAAGTTGTGAAAACTTAAAACAAGAACTGATATTGTCATAGTTGGTCCTAGGTTGTTGATTGGTCTTCAATATAAGTTGATATTTCTAACCTAGGTTATTTTTTAAAAATAAGTTCTATGTGGAAACGAGAGACACTATGACTAAATATAAAACCATAAAATAATGTATAAGAAGTAATAAATAGAATGAAATTACAAGGAGTATATATCTATGAAAATTTTATGAAGCTTGTTGAATGATCATTTATGGTTCCTGAAATTGTTGAATAATTGCAATTTATGTATAAAATTATCTAGTCTTTCTTACCAAGTAACCAAGGTATTTATAAACCTTTGTCACCTCATGAAAGGAGAGTTGCACCATTGATGGAGAAATTACTATTACCATTGCTTGTGATGCTTATTGTGTCATTAGTGGATAAGTGTAGATAGAAAATAACTATTGGTGGAACAAGGTGGTATATGGTTTGCATTTGTATGCACTTGGTATATATGCCTACAAAGAGAATTTATGTGCCTGTATGGTTCAAGGAACTTAAAAACAATACATAAATGTATATATTATGGCAGGGTAGTTTTGAATAAACTGAGGTGAATGTTAAGTGTCGACTAGTGGCTCTAATAATTAGAACTATAGTCACATAAATTTGTTTTTGGTGAATTTTTTGTACCATTATTTCCCTCTAAGTGTTTTAAACAATAATGTTTTGAAGACTTTGTAAAAAAAAAGAAATAAAATAGTTATGATTTTCATTAACATGCTAGCATGAGAGTTCTCTTCGTATTTTTTTAACATTTTTATAAAGAAAAGAATGTTTGATAAGTTTTATATGTCTTCATAAAAAAAATAATATTAAATAAAAACATTGTTAAAATATTATGCAATGAGATGTTATATAGAGACGTAGAGATTTCAATTGAGATCTTGTTGTGAAGATTTTTGTTAAATACATTTAAAACATGTTAAGAGACATGAAAAATTTATTTAGAGACATGGAAATCTAATCATAGAGATTTTTTTTATTGAAGACCTAGAGATATGTTTAGAGACATGGAGAATTTAATGGAGATATGAAGATCTCATCATGAGGTTTTTTATTAGAGGCATTGAAAACATGGAGAAACATTAATGCTTTTATTCAAAAGTTTAAAAATAATAGAAATATAATTTCTAAAAATTATCTGACCTCATGAGGACTTTTTTCTATTTTTTTCAGATTGCATCTCATTCTTCATATATTGTTGGAAGTATCTCCTAAAATATTTTTTTGATCTCCTATTTTTGGACATAACATTCCTTAATATTATAATAGTGGTCATGGTGACAGTGACAAAACTTGATAGGGTTTTTTATGTTTTTTCCACTTTTTATAGGAGCTATGTATCACTTGAAGTGTTTTTATTGAATGATAGCCATTATATAGCAAGTGTAGTGGTAACACATGTCGTTAGAAACTCAGCGAATGTTAAGCGATCACAAACAAATTTATTTGTTATAAACTAATTTTTGATGCCTCTCAAATATATATATATATCAAAAAATAAATTTAAGAAAAATAGATAAAAAGAAAGATAAATGCAATCAAGGATGAAATTGAGAAGAAATATTGAGAAAAGACTAAAAATGGCTAAATAGGCAAAAATTACAAAGCTAGGACTAAATCAAAAAAGGTCAAGAAGTTAAGTGGCCATTTAATCCAATTAGGGATGCAATTGAATAAATATTGAGAACAAAGTTGAAATTAGTTGAAAATGAGAAAAAAAATTCAAGAGCCAAATTAAAAAATGTATCACAGTTGAAGGGCCTTTTTGAAACTTTTGTATATCAAAACAACATTGTTTCATTTAAAAAAAATAAAATTAAGTAAAAGAATGTGTTTCACTCAGTTTTAAGTGAAACAATGTTGTTCCATATTATAATTTTAAAACAAATTACACCAAAACAAAGTTGTTTTGGTGTATGGGACAAAACAATCTCTTTCTTCTCCTTACA